TTTACTAGAGAGATGGGTCTAGAGTAATTAGATTTTTGTGCCAGGAATTTGGTAAGTTTCTAGAGTTCAGGACCTGATTAAAGATGATTTCTAGAATTGGAGTTATATGTTCTGTTAATTTGTAGAATTCATATATCAACCCATAAATACCTGGGGATTTATTATTTGGGAGGTTTCTAATCGTGGTTGTTATTTCCTCTTTTGAAATAGCTTGTATAAGTTCAGAGTTTTCTTGATGCGAGATTGTAGAAAGTGTATCCATGATCGAAGCAGCTGCTTCTAAGTCTATACCCTCATCTTTGTAGATTTCAGTATATTTTTCTTTTATGTATTGTAGTGTTTGATCTTCTTTATTTTGTATACTAGCTTCCGGGATCTCAATTTCTTTCAAAGCAGAGTTACTGCTTCGGGTTTTGAATCACGAGAAGAAGTATCTGGTAGATTTTTCTTCTTGTTTGACCCAATTGGCTTTTGAGCGAGTCAGCCATCTCTCTGCTAGTTGAGAAAGCTCCTCTTGCGTCTGTATGTTAAGATCATTTATTCTTGATTGCATAGTTGTTTGTTCAGGGTTTGCTGCTAAAGAGTCTTTAAGTTTGGTTATTTTTTTATTCAGGGTTATTATCTTACTTTTGGGAGCTTTAGGTTTTTTGAAGGCTCTTATAATTGATTGAATGCAAACTTTGTGCCAATCCCAGTCTGATGCCGAGTTGACAGATTTAATTTCTTCAATGACTTCTTTTTCCAATAATTTGTTTCTAAAAGAGTCTTTATCGAACCTCGAACTGGATACCTTTTTTGCTTCATTTTCTAGAATGAGGGTACATTTGACTAGTGTTTGTAGTTGATTCTTATTTATTGGCTTAGCTGGCTATGCTCAAGCCGATAACCCTGATTGGTTAGTTAAAACATGTGACAAAAAATAAATATAATTGGTCGATCATATGGATATTTATCATGCTCTAAATCTATATCGATATTAAACTGTGCTCTAAATCTATATCGATATTAAACTGTGCTCTAAATCTACATCGATATTAAACTGTGCTCTAAATCTCTATACATCGATATTGAACTCAAGTTATGGTAAAGTGTGAATGTTTTATCAAGATCAAAGAGCTATATAATAAGAGTATGATATTACCTTCTGTTCTTGGTGAATTTTGGATTACAGATTATAAGGCTAATCTATATTTCTCTTTATTCAAATCAAACATTACATGACCAAAAAAAGTTTTACTAAGCTATATTCTAAGCTATATTCTAACCGTTAGAATATACAAAAGTTTAATTTTTAATTTTTATGACCAGTTGGATCAAATTTTGAAAAATCTAAAATTTTTATATCAAAAAAAAAGAAAAGTGCCCAGTTTGTTTTAAAAATTTTAATGCTTTAGTATCTCTTAAATTCTATACATTAATTTGTTTTAGAATTTTCTTTTAGAAACAAAAGATCATGAACCGTATCTGGCTTTAGACGGTTATGTTTATCCGTTATGGTGTTTCTGGCATCAGAAAAGAGGCGTTATGAAGGTACTGAAGTCGCGGAGATACCCAGAAAAATTTGTGCCTGTTTGGCAAGGAGAGGTAAAGCACATCTATGCTCCTTAAAAGATTACACTCTTCATAACGTGGATCTTTTGGGTCATACTTAGAAATTGGTGAAATTGAAAGAAATAGTTGTAGCTCGGTATCAATTTGAGAAAGGGATGAAGTCTCATTTCCATCATCAAAGAAAGAAGACATTTTTGTATCTAAGGCTTGATTGGCAATTGGTAAGGTATTTTTTTTGTGAAAAAAGCTCAATTTTTTTACGTAACTCTTGGATCACTTCTTTTTGTATTGTTGGTGAGGCGGCTGATAATGTTTTAAAGTGGGGGTCAAGAAATGTTGCAAGCCACCCGATTATTTCTGGATTATCCCATTGAGAAACTATTGACATATGGAGACCTTTGTGCATTTTAATAGCATCTAAGTTTGTAAGTTTATCTTTCATTTGGTCCAAGATTTTAAAAAGATGCCATATAGTGGGATACATCATACCCAGTGTTGGGTATTGGTCGCCATCCATGAATGTTAATGCTTGTGTGAATGGGCGTAACATTTGACATATCTCATCAAGGCCTACAAGATTTTTTTTTAAAAAAAAGAAAAATTAAAATAATTAAAATCTTTATTTAAAAAAATGGCAATAGAACTATTGCATAGTTCTAGTGCCACTTTTTGCTCCTTTGTGCTAAGATCAATTAATAAATTAACCTGTCTATTCTTCGTTAGTAAGTATTTTCTCATTTAAGCTATTGCCATCGATACGGATTATACGATCAGGATCATTTATTAGATTTATTGACAATTCTATAGTTGGTTCCTGAAGCTCAAGAAGCCAGTGAAGAACTAAATAGGTAGAGTTCCACCTAGTGGCAGTGTCACTTGATATGGGATCTAAAATGGACATATTGGCAGTTAGTTGATTTGTACTATTTTTTTTTCCTTCTATTATTTCACTTTGAATTTTTCAGAATAGTGATCTGTATTTGTTATGATTAACTAAAAAGTTATTTAATGATTTTGCACGTCCAATGAAAGATTCTATTTCCTTTAATCCATCTGTAACCACGAGGTGAATAGTGTATGCTGTACAACCAAGGTGGGAAGTGCCTAATTGTCTAATTGCTTTTATTATCGATGCTAACTTTGCGCAAAAAATCTTCGATTCGATCTCCCATATGTGGATAGGGAAATGCTCAATCGTAATTAAAGATTGGTACATTGTAAAGTTTTCAGAAAGCCAATGGGCTGTTATACTGATATATGGAACATGATTTTGTGTCCATAAATCAGTAGTAAGGCAAATGGAATTCATTGTTTGACTCATCATTTCTTTTAGTGTTGCACATGTATGAAATACTGATTCTTTAATGATGTTTTTATTAGTATTAGTGCAAGGAACTCCAAACCGTTGATTAATCTCATAACAAAAGTCTCGAAACCGATCATTGTTGATACAATCTAATGGCATTATTTCTTCAACAATCCAAGCAACAAGCCGATAAGATATGCAATTTTGTTGTTTTTCAGGAAGGGGATAAGTGTTTTTTATTTGTTTTTGTATGATTTTTTGATGCAGAATTTTCAGTTGATGTTGAAGGTGCATCCCACTTTTGGTTCTTAAAAATTCTATGCTCTGTACACAAATGCGCGACTATATTAGATGTTGATGTTGTTGGCATAAATATTGCCTTACACTATTCAGAAGTACCATCTTTATGATCTATACGGACCTTACAATATTTAACCTTGGTTAATTTATCTTGGCGAGTATATTTCCATACCCAACTGGCAGTAGGCCTACTTTTTTTTTTTTTTTTTTTGTATTGCATTTGGTTTAATTTTCATCACTAAAAGCATTTTCATCCTCTATAATATTTTCATCAAAATTATATTCAAAATTACAGATTCTTTCATATTCAAACGACATTACTTTCATCAGCAGCCTCTTCAAATGATTGATCGTTAGACATCTTTGTTAGAGACGGTATAAGTATTGATGCTAAATCTTTGGCTTATTATATCTTTTTTTTTGGATTATCCAAATATTAACTATCATTATGTTATACTGAGGGTTTTGGGGCATGGAATCCTCGATTTTTTTTCAATTTGAGAATTGTGTTTCCTAAAAATCAGATATTCTTTTGGGCATATTCAAGATTCTCATGCCCCAAACTTTATTATAGTGCTTTGCAAAAAGATGTGAATATGCGATTTTAGTGATGATGATGGCTGAGAATCACTAAGATTCCAGATTGTCTGTTACTTTATATTTTCAATTGGTTACGTTTATATTTCTTTGAAATCAGTTTAATTCTTAAAATCTCAAAAAATCTATAAAATCTCCGATTCTTACATGAAAAAATAATCTGCAGTATTCACATCCTTTTGCAAAGTGCAATAATACTAGTAGTTTGCATTGGAATTATGATTTAGTTGTTTTGGTGTTATAAAGATAAGGGTAAAGTTTTGATTTATTTCATAAAATCAGCAGAGATTGGTAATACTGATATAATGCTCAATGTTGTATATTGTTATCTTAGGCGTTTACAAGCACCTACCTCAATGAATTCTATATTGAGTTTATTGATGTAGTGCTTGAGAACGTCCTTAATGGAATTGGTGTTGTGAATATAAGGCATTCATTTATTAAAAAAAGCTGCAACCAACTGAAATTTTTTTAAAACAGCGACTTTTTATTGTTGCCACCAGTTATTGGCATGGGGTTATTGCATTTAAATATTTTTTTTTGTCTATAAGTTAGATTTTGGTTTTTTTTTTGTTTCAATTAGCTATAACAAAAAACTATTATTTACACCATGTACATTTTTTGTGAAATTCAGTGTGTGGTTTCTGAAGACTACTCAGGAATTTTGGGATCGCTTGCATAACAATTTAACTATTATAAGAATTCCAGGCAATTAAATATATAAATTATAAACTTTATTCCAATCTTGAAGATGATCGTTCTTTGTACATTCTTTTTTAATGGCATAGCATATATGTATATATTCGCATGCATAGTAAAGTTTTTGCTAGACACAGGAACTTGCAGAAACCTACGTATATTCAATTATGTTATATTAATATTCTACGTTACATAAGCAAGCTTTTTATATCTAATATATATGTCATACGTCAGAACAAAATTTAAATTTCAAAACGACATACTCGATGAAATAATTTGGAGTATATATAATTTTGTTGACGACTCGGGCACATTTTAGAATTCTATTACAATCTATATATACGATTTTGTTAATTATTATCATCTGATTAAATCTGATTAAATAATCTATATAATAAAGCAGGGTTATTTTAATATATTTTTATTGGCTGTTATAGTTTTTATATAACCTAATAATAAATTGGCTAAGCTGATTTTTTGGAAAATCAGCTGGCTAAGCTGGCTAAGTTGATAAAAATCAACTATCGACTACAAACACTACATTTGACTAGTAGGTGGTCTGAGTTTCTGTTAAAAAATCATAGTTCTCATCTATAAAAATATAGTCTAGACATATAGCCATCGACTGATTATTTCTTGTATTCTGGTAGAATGTAAGAAAAGGTTTTTTCTCCAAAAGAGATGCAGAGTCCAGGAAGTTGTTTAATAGCCTTTTAAGTTTTAATCTTGATGAGTCATTTTGTGCATTGGCTTGGCTTATTCTGTTTATGGTTGGGTCTAGATTTGTATTAAAATCTCCTGCAATAATGTTTATCTTGTCTTCATCAAAAGAAGGAATCCAATTTTTAAAGAAAGTTGTCATGTCTTTCATGTTCGGTGAAGCATAGACATTTGTGATCTTGAAGAGATGCTTTTTATATAAGATGTCTGCTGTAATTACCCTTCCTTCATGAGAGGTTTGTGGGTTTTGAAGTTTTAGATCTCTTCTGCCAGCTAGTATTGCAGTTTTGTCAGTCCAGATTGATTCAAATGGCTATTGTAGTTTTAGTAGGTTGCAGGTATTTTGGTTACTAGAATTTGTTTCTTGAATTACAATTATATCCAGTTTGTATGATTTAATTAATGTCAATGTTTTTTGTTGTTTTTCACTGTCATTTAGCCATTTTACATTTAGTGTAGCTATAAAAATTTTTGGGCTTTCTGTCATAGGATAAGATAAGATTTTTCTATTGTTTTTTTTATTATTAGATACCGTGATAAAGCCTTCATCATTTATATTAGGCGGAGTATTCTCTTTCTCATTTGTATCAGACTTTTGTAAAGCAAAGGTTCGAGCTTGATCCTCCATTGTTAGCTCATCTCTTGGAGCTTTATTGAGCGAAAGTTGATTTTCTACCTCTTCTTGGATGTAGAGGGATTTTAGCTTGTCATCAGTTTCATCATTCTTCTTAGTTACCTCTTCTGTATGTATTATCATTGTATCAAGATTAGCTAGGTTTTTAGCATTCTCATTGGGTTTTCTTCCAAGTTTGGAACAAGAATGTTTTCTTTTGGAAGTTCCTCTTGTACTTCAGTTATTGTTGGTTCTTTCTGCAAAAGTAATACAGGGGTTTTTCATGGTGGGCTGCTTATTGATCTCTCCTCTCTAGTTTTTCTAACTTCTCTAAATTTACGATAATAATCCCAAAGTCTGAGTGATTCTTGAAGTTGTTCACATTCCTTCTTAATATGACCCTCTTGATTACAGAAGAAGCAAATTTTTGGAGCTGATTTCCATTCTGTAGTGACCTTATTGTCACTGACCTGGGTAAATTGTAGGATTTTACTCTCTAGGTTTGGGTCATCTGTATTTTCAAAAATGACGATCCATTGGTCTGTTAAATAAGAAGTGCCTTCAATCAGAAGAGGTTTAATAGAGAAAATATTGTCTATGTCTTCAAAAGCCTCTTGGATGAGGTCAGAGATTTGGTTTTTGTCACCAAGTGGCATATTTCTAATTTTGACCAGTAAGAAGGGTTTGCAAGCATCTGTTAGGATCAGTGTTGGGCACTAGACTATGTCCAATTATAAAAATATTGGACCAATTGGACTAAAAAAGTGGAATATATCCAATTTGGTTCCAATTTACTACAACAATTCCAATTGGCACTTGGGCACTTGAACGGTCCAGCCTATATCTGGAAGCAGTAACAATTGGAACAGTCCAATAATCCAATAAACTAGTTCGATTCTGAATCAAAATTATACATTAGTACAGTTTTATTGTATAAATTTATAAATTATACATGAAATTATTTAATACTTTTTATTAAATACAATCGCCCAATTTAATTTAATTGTAAATCTATGCTTTTCGGAAATTTTAAAGAATTAGAATTAGAAACAGACGAAAATGCTTAAAAGATTTTTATAAATGAGATACATTATTTAAATACCTATAGATAATGTTTATTATATATCGACTTTCTAAGACATCATAGTATTTTTCATTATTAATGATATAGACATTTCTCAGAGTAGTGACTACTTACGGCATTATAGCCATGACGTAGAGGTTGTACTACTACCTAAGGTTACATTGCCGTGAGATAGTTGTTGTAAGTGATGTAGTATGCCATATAGCATTGCTACTGAAAAATTTCGCTGGCTAATCAAATTTCAGTAAACACAAAAAATCAATAGAGGTAGTTCATACATTTTACACAATTATAATCAATTTTCGTATATCATCCTCTTTTGCCGATTTCTTTAATGTTAGATACCTTATAAGTGCGAAATAACGCATTATTTCGAATTCACCTGTGTGCGTTGTGACATTTGAATCTGTGCTCAGTTTGTTGATCATCATGCACGTTTGTGTAACATCTACGTTAAAAGATCCTATTATAATGTTATAGAATTAAAATAAAAAAAGTTCATTAAATATTGGTTTAGAAAAAAAACCCCAAAAATTTTCGAAAAAAACAAATCGAAAATTTTCTTTATTTGAACTTTAAATGACGATTTCTCGAACTAACCTATCCAAATTTAATGAATTTTTTTTTATTTTAATTCTAGGAGTTAATAGAATTATAATAAAAGAAAATTATAGAATTTTGATAGCTGGTTGTCGAGAAATATTCATTAAAAGCCAAAAAAAAATTAACCGCAGTTTTTATTTATAGGCACCTAAACTTTGAACAAAGATTACTTGGCACTTACCTAGACAAATTCGATCAAGTTTTTTTTATTTTAATTCTATATGCTCATAGAATTAAAATAAAACAATTTGATCGAATGTGACTAAATAAGTGCCGAGTAATCTTCGTTCAAAGTTTAGGTTCCTATAAATATAAAACTGCAGTTAATTTTTTTTTGGCTTTTAATGAATATTTCTCAACCAGCCATTAAAATTTGACCAATTTTTTTTATTTTAATTCTATGATCCCACAGAATTAAAATAAAAAAATCTATCAAATTTGGATAGGTTAATGTCAAGAAATCGTCGTTTAAAGTTCAAATAAAGAAAATTTTAACCAATTTTGTTTTTTTCAAAGATTTTTGGGGGTTTTTTTTTAACTTTTTGCGATTATTTATCGAAACCTACTAAACCAAATTTAATGAACTTTTTATATTTTAATTATATAACATTATAAAACTAAAATAAAAAAAA